AACAAGCGAGCATGAAAATAAATATGAATGATTGAATGAACAAATTAATGAACAAATAAACAAGCGAGCATGAAAATAAATATGAATGATTGAATAAACAAATTAATGAACAAATAAACAAGCGAGCACGAAAGGGAATGAATGGATGGATAAATGGATGAATGAAAAAATAGAAAACTTGTGCTTATCTAGTTGTGCTGTCATTAAACACTTGGCAAGATGAATCAGAAAGCCAGATTTATGACTATAGCTATTGTTTGTGTCTTACAGCTCGTTCCCACTAAATCAACCTCTCTTCTTAATGCCATCAAAAAAGTTAAAAACCCCAGACAGATGTGCGCGAAGCTGAGTGGACATGTTCATTCACTCACTGAACAGCTGAAGGAGATGCTTAATAGCAATGCTCACAAACCACAAGGTACACACTTGGTAACCAACTGTTTTATTTACTTTCGCTGCGGTAGTTTGTTAATTGTTTGTTTTAATTCAAAGAACAAGTTCCTCCCACATTATCATATTTTCTAGTCATACTCACTTCCCTCCTCTAGATCATGGCTCTGTTCTAAAATACGCCACTTGCCAACCCCATGACACCCATGCAACCACGCACCACACGCATTCCATATGTGTCATACTTGAATCCCTATTACAATGACCACGGTATATTGTAACATATAGAATAAATAGTTTACATATTGTAAGTGGAACTTATATATTTTAGATATGTTTATTGTTAATGTCCATCTGTCCAATTACACATGTATGCCTGTTGTAAACCAGAGATGAGCTAATACTCCATTTTACTCCACTCCACTCCGTTCAGTGAGCAAGAATAATAGTTCCTACCCAAGGCTGGAGTTTCCGCGCATAGCCAAACTACAGTTTATCATATGCGGTAACTCCAGCCTCGGCTAGGAACTATTATTCGTGGTCACTGAATGAAACTGTAAAATGGAGTATTGACAGGCCATTTTTGTTTTGTCAGATCCTTTTCTGTATCATGATGAGACACTAGAGTTGATGACTCATCGATGGTATAAACTAGACAAGGTACAGTACAAACTATATGAACATCAAAATGGTCTTAAGGAACTTCTTGAAAACCAGTTGTCAAAAAWTATAAAACTCGCACTCTTAAAAAACTGACAAAACCTGGACGTTGATCAAAAAATGATAACCATTGGTTGAAATCTGTGATTATTCAGAGTCAATAAAATGTATACTTTTGTAGACATTACATGGTTACTTAGTGCCATGTGAGGTGAGGTTTTTAGTGAACATTGGCAGTGAACGTCCCTGGTACCTTAAATAATCAAATACATTAGATCTGAAGAATTTATTACATTGATTTTTTTCAGGACTTTAAGCTGAAGAATGGCACATACGATATCAGCCTGATACCAGATATATATGACAGTATAAAATATGATATACAACACAACAGGTATTGGGCAGTCTGATACCAGATATATATGATAGTATAAAGTAAATGATATACAACACAACAGGTATTGGTCAGTCTGATACCAGATATATATGATAGTATA